ACAGAGGCGCAAAGCAACATCGCTTATTGGCTCGGCTCTGGTCAGCAGTGGGGCCCTTACCAAACATGGGGCAGCTTCTAGATCCTTCTCACAGAAACCACCCCTATGGCCCCCTGCTACCAAAACCTTGCCACGTAAACCCACTACACATGTGATATGAAAATGACCACTGACAGCTGTAGCAATGGAAGTGCTTTGCTCTAAAGAGGTCTCTTTCACTTTTTGGGAGGATGCTGTGTGGGTTAAGTTTTAAAGGGCTATCTTATTTTAAAATTGTTGGACATGTGGAAAAAAAAATCGGGTGAAGTTCACAACTTATATCCTACCTCCACTTGAAGAAAATATTAGTTTACCTTCAGAGTTAACAGCTTTTTTCTACTTTGAAAACTATCAGGCTAATAATTCATTTTCCTTTAATATGGTTTTATTTAAAACTTTTAAGGAAAGAAAAGGGCAAAAATGATACGGGCATATTTAGAAGTTCACAAATGTCAAGTGGGAAGGTCTCATAACCGTTGTAAACTGTTTTTTTGCACATTAGAGTGTGAATGGTGATTTTAACCTTTTCTTACAGGATTTTGTACACTGTGTAATTACCAGGTGAGAACTAAATTCCCGTACTGGCTTCTCATTTGCATTACTCCTAGGCATAAGGCTGGACTGTGGTCAGAAACTGAGCCTCAGCAATGGAAACTAGGAGGTGAATTTAGGAGGAAAGTTGGGAGAATTGGAGCTATTGCTAAAACCTCTTCATTCCTTTTGGTACCTTTAACAAATCACTTTGAAGTCAAATTGTTGCATGGAAGTTTACTGACCTCTCCTTAGTGTGATGTTTTTCAGACCATATTTTTCCATGATAGGAGACAAATCAGTCGATGCCTCTAATATGCATTGTATGTGCTCTGTGCATTTTAGGGAGCTTTTTTAATTCTCATTTCTCCTTGTCTGTAAGAAGGTATGTGGGGGGGCTGTAATACAGATCAGAAGCTAAGCCACGTAGCATGTGTGTATGTGTTCAGAGAGGAACAGCTAGCAATTCCGTATCTCTACATAAAATGTGTACTCAACACTGTTTAAAATAACAACTTACCCTTCTGGGGTTTTAAAAACCCACCACACATTAAACTTTGGAAGAAGGCAGTAAAATCCTGTGATGGGCTGTGCGTGCGTTCATACAAGTCTCCTACTGAAGTCTCTCTGATTGCACAATTTAAACACAAGAAGCTGGGTATGTTCTTTGTGTGTGTCGTACAATTTGTGGCAGTGATGCAGTTTCCTTCTGCCTTTTCTTCTCCTAGACCTGGAAGTGCCATTGATCATGCCAGATCATTCTGACCTTTCTGCCATACCATCAAACACAGTTTCACTTAAAGTCCTGTTCAAAATAAAAGGCTTGCATTTCAATTCAGTATTTCAGAGTATACCCCCTTTTAAAAAAGATCCATTGTTGATTTACAGTTTCCCAGGCAGTGAGAAATACTTTAAGAGTTCTGTTTTATTGTTTCAATCCTTTGTTTACTGTGAAAACTTGTTTTTTTCCCTGTGCTAGAGTTTGCAAGGATGTGAGGGAGTGTGACTGTGCTTGTACGCAGGTCAGTGAAGTACTCTGAAGTGTTCCTGTGAGAGCTGTTAGTCCAACGTTGTTCCACTGAATTATTTCCTTTCACTGGAAACTCTCCCATTGCTACCAATTCTAGTGATTTAGCTGGCAATTATACTCAAATGTGTTTTTTTTTTTTTGGCTTTTTTTTATTTTTTTATTGATAAATATTAACCAAACTGTTGGAACTTCTTGATTCTTAAAAGTAGGTTTGATATTTTTAATATTTATCTGAGGTATCAGTGTTTTCTGATTCTGGCTACAACACTAGTCTAAAAAGAGGCTTGCTTGCAAATTTGCAGCTTCTCAATGTTTTGACTACTACAAAATGAAGAGATAGAGTTGAGGCTGTTTTCAGTGTCCAGATATTTGACTTGAGCTAGTCTTTTTAGCAAATGCTGGTAATGCTTAGTTTTGCTAACTAGAGGAAGGCTTTGAGGTTTTCAACTTCATTCATAAAAATGGCATTACAATATTAGGGTTGAGTTTAGACAAATAAGACAAAACTTCTGGCAAATCTGGGCCTTCATTTTAAACATTTATTTCAAACACATCTTGTTTTATGAACTGCTTGAATTATATGCAGACAAGTAACAGACAGTTTTACTGATGAAATACTTTTATATTGTTATTCTTTATTTTCCTTTTTAAGAAAAGTTTTAGAATAACTGTGATAGCATCTTCTGTTGTAGTTGTGATTACTTCCAATAGGGAGATTTGGAGGAGACGGCAGAAAAATGCACCACATTTAGATCAAATATTTCACAGAATCATTTAGGGTGGAAGAGACCTCCAAGATCACCTCGTCCAACCCCTGACCTAACACTAACCAGTCCTCCACTAAACTGTATCACTAAGCTCTAAATCTGAACGTCTTTTAAAGAAAGACCCTCCAGGGATGGTGACTCCACCACTTCCCTGGGCAGCCCATTCCAGTGTCTCACAACCTTTTCGTTAAAGAAGTTTTTCCTTATATCCAACCTAAAACTCCCTTGGTGCGACTTCAGCCCGTTCCTCCTCATCCTGTCACCGGGCATGTGGGAGAATAAACCAACCCCCACCTTGCTACAGTCTCCTTTAATGTACCTACTGAGAGCGGTAAGGTTGCCCCTGAGCCTCCTCCTCTCCAGGTTAAACAACCCAGCTCCCTCAGCCGCTCCTCCTAAGACTTGCTCTCCAGGCCTCTCATCAGCTTTGTTGCCCTTTTCTGGACTCGCTCCAGCACCTCGATGTCCTTCTTGTAGCGAGGGGCCCGAAACTGAACACAGTACTCGAGGTGCGGCCTCACCAGAGCCGAGTACAGGGGGACAATCACTTCCCTAGCCCTGCTGGCCACACTGCTTCTGATACAAGCCAGGATGCTGTTGGCCTTTTATTTAATGCGTTAGAAATGTTTTTGATCTGTCAGTAATGACCAAAACATGATCAACTGTTGTTGCTGTTCACGCTGTGTGGTGTTGGCATAGGAGACATGTCAGTACCCCACTAGTGTCAGATTTAGGACCAGTCAGTAGGCAGGGCGTTTTGCTTCCTGTCTCGTTGCTGAACTTGACAAGAGACAAATACAGACTAATCCCCCTAGCTGTGGCTTTTTTTATTCCATAAAATCTAGAGTGTAGGTTGTTTGCGAGTCTGCTGCTCCCTGACTTGCTCCTTTAGCTCAGCAGTTTGAGACTTTATATTCAAGACTCTTGGGTTCCATGAAGTAGTGGGCCTGGAAATGAAACATTTCTGAAGGCCCAGGATGTTCATGGGGAGCTTCCCTGGCAAGGTAAGTAGCTCCTGCTAGCACTACAGTTAAATTTCAGTTCAGTGTAGTGATCGTAAGTTGTCTCTGGAGGAAGAAGCCAGGAGTCCTGAACTTTGTTGGCACGAGCAGCTGCTGTAAGCCCGAGGCTGAGAGGTGATTACCTCAGCGCCTCCTCAGCCGCCCTGGGGGGGTGTCCTGGCGGCCTTGTTAGGCTCCCTGGCTGTTAGAGCGTTGAGGTGCCAAGCAGGTAAACTTGAATGTTACCAACATTTTACAAGTATGTCTGTTATTACTGTCATGTACTGTTAGCTGTCAGGCTGTGTGAGAGGACCCCCCCCCACCCCAGCCCTTTCTTGAGGAGCCCTGTCCTCCAACAGGCCGGCAGACTTCAGGCTCCTGAGGTGCATGGGCAGTGAGGGTGCAAGCTGAGGGCTGGCCGGTACAAGCACTTATGGTTTTGTAGTGAGTTGGTGGGGCTGTCACGGTGTGCATCGTACTCTGTGCAAATAAAGAGCATATTTTGGGAACAACGTGCATTTTTTCGGTGTTGATGATGCACATGAATACTCATAGATGTAAATTGGAGAGAGTATCACAATTAGAGAGAAGTAGGAGCACGTGCTTTTTGCAGATGATTTGAAATGCATTCCCTTTCGTCAACTGTAAGAGAGGCTGTGTTGAGTATCGGAAAGCGAGCAGTAGTGCATTTCTTCACAAGCTTCCCTTGGTCTGTCAGATTACTTTGCTAATTACAGAAAATTCATCTTTACACTGATTTTGCCGTATCACAACCTCTGTGTTCATCAGAAAGTTCGAAGTAGTCAGAAATAAATATAACTCCTTTGAACTGAGACTGATTTATTAGAGCATTTGTACCAGCACTTTCTTTCAACCTCTCAAATTGACTGTTGCAATGAGAGAAATGAGCTCATGTGTGAACGGAGTACTTGTGCTAATACAGTTAGCAAAGAGAAAGAATTTGGAGTTTCAGGGGTGAATTGTATCATTTTTTTTATGTAGTGAAGAAAACAAAAACACACTAATGTTCTTTTAGACTTTGTGAAATGTACTGTGTTGCAGTTTCCTTAATTGTTGCAGTAAATAAGGATGCTTCATATGAACTTTGTAAGTTGATTATAAGCCATTTGGATAGTTTTTTGCTCTTAACTGTTTGTTTTGGCAATTGCTTATATTAAACATCTAACTCATGAACAATTGTAATCTACAATGTTAAACACATAGCAACTCACTGTTTCTGATTAGCTAAAGAATGCAGAACCATGCATGATTAAGGATTCTCCTGTTACATGTGTCACTATCTGCATATATTGTGCATCCAGGGTTGCTTTGGAGACTTCCTGTACATGCAGATGTAAAAGTATTAAGGATTCTAGGTTGAAGCTGCTTATTTTTATGTAATCTGTGATATATTGTTTATCACTTCCCATTCAGTTGACTTACCCTAAAATTAGGTGAAATGTTGCTGAAAATCAGACTTCCTATGTGAGTGTCAAATTACACACAACACCCAAAAAGATCATTAGTTAATCAACAGAACCACATTTCATTCTTAAATTTCCACCTCTTTTGTTTCTCTGTTTTGTTTTGTTTTGTTTTAATTTTATTTCTATTTTTTTTAGTGAGTGACAGTTGCTTCAGGAACCTTGCCGAGGATCGTAGTGGGATAAACCTTAAAGATCTGGTCCAAGACCCTTCTTTGTGAGTATCTGGCTCTTATTGCTAAGCAAAGAAAAGCTTCTTCATGATATCATTGTGAGTAGTTTTGTAATTATATCAGTAGTATGATGTACACTTACTGCTTTGGTGATAACATGTTTGCCAAGTTGTTCGGCTTTAATACAGGCACATATTATTAAAACCATGTTTTCTATCTACTTCAGATCATGAGCTAACATCCAGTAAGCACATACAGTAAAGGGTATAAAGAGCAATCACCAGAGGAAAGAGATTGTATATCCAAGTATTTCTGTGGAAGAACTATATGTACATTGTCACCCCTCTTTGTTGAAGTAGGAGCCACTAGCAGATTACTGGATAATTGTTATTGTCAGTTATCTTAATGTTACTTTTTTTTTTTTTTACTTTGTACCTGATTACATACAGCTGATACTCATTCCTTTTTCCACTACTTATTTTGATTCAAGTGTATGGATGATCTACTTTTTTACCTCATTGCAAGACTAGTGCTCTTCATCTATGTGGTATCTTCCTCTAAAATAAAATTCAGTCTCATGAGCTCTGAGCCAGATTTGAATTTTAGAAAACTTTTGTTTATTCTATTCAGTTAATTTTAGTACTGGCTGAAAATGTTCTTGCTAGTGTGCCCAAGTGTACCACCTGTTGTGGAGGGAAGGAAAGGAGAGGAAAAAAAATCACATCTTTTTAACAGGAATAATAGTGCATTCATTCCTCAGTGAATCCTTACATGATGGAGCCTGTATGGCAGCAGAGCACGTTTTTTAGCTGTGTTTGGGAAGTAGTAGAAAAGAAGGCATATTTGACATCTTATTTCATTTACAGGTGATTTTTAGTAATTGAAGTGAATGCAGAATGTTTTGTCACATTGACACAGATAAATGTGTGCATACATGCATTATTGGGAAACGTTTACGTAGTATATTTAATATATCATAATTTATGCTTCCAAAATGAGAGGTACAGGGGACAAGTAGAATTGTTGCTTGAGATTCACAGAATGAATGAAAGAAGAATTTTTATAGAATTTACTAAATTTTACGTGTCAAAATTGAAGGACTTCATTTTTAACCTGAATTTGTCTTTGAGGTGTTTTATTTTCCCATTGATAATTGTATGTGTTGTTTTGAGCTGCAAGTAAGCTTATATGCAGCACACAGTTTTGGTTTTGCACCTGTGGAGATTACCTTCAGAAAGTTACTTTTGTTGCATTTGGTGTAGAATGATTCTCCATGCCATATACAGAAAGTGATGAAATCTTCCAGTTTCCTGCCCTGAACATAATTTACATGAAGATTGCAATATATTATTATAATCTTTAAAATAAAATAAATGGATTTCTGTTGCTTATGACATAGAAGTGTAAGTGACTGCAAAGTACCCCTTTTTATCACTGACTTTGAAAGATTGGATACAGTCAAAAACTTCCATTAGTTATCAAGGACTGTTATGACATTTCTATTGTGTGACAGGAAATAATGCAAGAAAAGTCGGCTTCTTTCTGCCTAATGATAGGACTATATATACTTGGTTTTGTCTTTCCAAATTGACATTCTTGCAGTTTTAGTACTGAGTGCCTATTAAGAGTTCTTGCAAGATGTTGTAATTGTGTGAATGAGTCTTCAAATACAAAGAAGTAATCCAACATTTAAGGGTGTATTATTCAGCCCAGCCTTCTGTATCTGACTTTAAGGTGCCATGGTTTCTGAATCCTTCATGGTGCATGAGATATGCAAAAGGACAATATGGGGCTGAAGAATGACTGTCAGTCAAAGAGATGTTTTAACCTTTTCTGAAATAAAATAAAGTTTATTTTAAGACTTCAGAGTATTTGGCTAAAATTTTCACCTGCAGTGGTTAAATAACAAAATAACATTTAGTTCATCCTCTTTGACAGTTTAATATCTACAGTTTAGGATTTCTTTGGTGCTCATTCACTCTGACTGTAGATCAACTGCCTCTTTTCTTTGTAATCTGATATATCTCATACCAACATCAGATTTACATAAAAAAAAATCTGGTGCTCTCTCTGTGAAGGCCTCTGTCACTTGAAAGGTTTGGAGTACATTTGTAATGTGTGACACTAATAAAGTAGTTTAACAAAGAGAGTGCAAAAGTTTCTAGGTTCGTTAGCATATAAATACTTGATTAGCGTATACATTTAACAGGAGTTCACATTAAGAGCAGATAGGCTCGCAGTCAGGGTAGAAATACAATACGCCTAGAGCATAGTATCAAAAAAAGTTTGTGTTTTTCTATTAGGATGGTTTGATACATCATATAAAATACGTTTTTGAATAGTGTCCATCTCTTGTGAGATTTAGCTCTTTGTTACAGTTTTCCAAACTGTATTGGCATCTCCCTTGTTTGTCACTTCTAGCTCTATCACAGACAGAATTTCTCTTCTGTTATTGCAGAAAGCTGTCAAGTGGATTCTTTTTCTGCAGGGCTGGAAGTGTGGCTTTACATTGAAATGAGTCTCCGCACTGATAGCATTGTAGGGTTTTTGGATTAGTGTCTGATTTATATCAAGTGTGCTTAATTATCAGGGCAGTTATTTTTCTCCAATTGATTTCCCAGCTAGAACTGTCTGGACTTTGTAAACCTGATCTGCTTTCAATTCTGTCATCGTGGGTAATAAAGGCTCTGCTGCCCAAATTAGGAGACTGAGCCTCTCTGTCAGTGAAAATAGAAATGCTGCTTAAGAAAAAAAAAAAAGCAAACCTATCAAATAAACATAAAATGTGGAGTTACTGAGTCACTGTGGGAGGAGGAAGCATGCAACAACGTTACACTTAAATCTCATTTTGTAGTTAATTACAGAAAAGTTGAATTTCAACAAAAAGTTGATTAGAAGCTCAACTGGAAAGCTCATTTGAGAGTTCACTGCTATTCTTTATTCATTGCATAAGCTGATGTTGCTGTATACAACAGCCAGTTTAGGAAACAAAACTTTAAGATATGGAGGTGTGTAGGAGAACAACAAGAGAAGACGAAGTGCGGTGCGTGACATGGTATTTCATTTAGGGAACAACACTGGAAAAGAGAAAGTAAAAATTGCCTACAGAATATACAAATTATTAGAGATTGTTTTTGGGGGACTGATGAGGTAGAACCAGTTCACTTTGTAGCAGATGAGATTGGATAGTTAGAAAATAATTCTAAATGTCAGGATGGTAAAGAAACTAGAATCTATTTCTGAAACTGTCAGGGAAAGCTGTGCAGATCACAGTCTCTGTATATCTGATGTTATATATGTGTAGAGAAGGAAGGAAGGGCAATTTTCTTCCTTTCTTCTATTAAAAAGGAGTGCTTTCTGGTAGCTTAGAATCAGCACAGTTAATACAAACAAAAAACAGGTAGGACTTAGTATGACTGCTGTATAGGTAAGTTCACATTGGTATGAGCATTCAACACTCTGATTTGGCTTAGATGATGCATGTACTCCAGCCCTTTCTCCCATTCAAGTAACACGAAAAGATATTTAAAATTTTGTATTACAGAAGGGGAGCTTTACCTACATGAGAAGACGATAGGTGTCTTTCCATGAGTGGTCCTAAACAGCAGAGCTGCAGACAGGCAGCGTAATTGGAGGAAGTAGACTGCTTGTTCTTACATGATGGAGCAGATGTTCTTCAAACTATGTTGGGTTGAGGTAAAATACAGTGGAACAGCCTAAGATGCTAGCAAAGTCATGATCTTGTGGGGAGATCCTTGAGGCTTTGTAGCAAGGCAGAATTCCTCAAGCTGGTGCTCAAGTAAAGACAGAAAGTTGAGCAGTTCACTTTGTTCCTTGCTTAGGAGCAGGCTGAACGCTGCCCTCTTTCTTCCACTCCTTCTGAGCAGTGGGGATGGAGAAGAGAAATGGGCTAGACAGCATTCAGTATGGCCTCCTGAAATTCCTCCTAGGTTCCTTACTACTAAATTTCTTCTAACTGTAAATTACTTCAGATGCATCTCTGAGGCATGAACCATCAGGTCGTTAGAGGGTTAGGGTTATACCTCCACCTACTTCAAGCAGAAAATCCAGGTGTAGACTTTGCCAAGCTATAGCTCTTTTGGTCACTTTATGAGATGCTCATTTCAGCTGTAGCCTATATGTAGACACACAGTTTATAAAATACTTGTCTGTACAAAAGGGAGGATGCTTTTAAACTTCCTGTGCACTTCAATAACTGCTGCCACACATATTCAGTGATATGCATTTGTTTTAGGAACACCTTAAGAGATTCTTTGAGATGAACAAGATCTAAGAGATCCTGAATAATTTCATTCCTTCTAGGCAAACTGACATCGCATCTGAACTGTGTTTCATATCTCCTTCGGATTAGCTGACTTTAATGAAAAGATGGGATATAAGTCAAAAAAGGGAAAAATAGGTAACTTCAGACAGGAGATCCGAAGTTGTTTTCATGCCTATGTAGTGCAGAAACTTTTTGTTTTTTTGCTTTTGTAAAAGCTGTGAGAAGCAAATGTTATTCACCCTCCATGTAACTGTATTAGAAAGACAACCAAAACGTTAATAATCCAGGAGTTTAACAGGTCTGCATCAGAAACTCCTGGATGAACACTGAATTCCATTTGTCCATGAGAGAACACAGAAGTCTTACAGAAGTCTTTGTCACTGCCTTGTTGTACCTAGTTTCTCCTCACATGAAATACATCTTTTTGGAACGAATTATGAGAGTATTAGAAGTTGTCACTCAATCTTAATGACTGAGAGCCAGTCCTCTGAAGATGAAGAAAGGAATTCTTGAAGAGCTCTGATCATTTATCTCACTGAAGACATAAGCTGTACTGTGGGTTGGAGACCTGATAAATACAGTGTTAAGTCTGTGGATGTAAAATTTGACAGTGTCTTCACTTGAAGAAAGCTGTCTAGCAGTTGATGATTTTTACCCGCAACTGTATGAACAAGTCCCCAAGTGTTTCCTACAATGTTTCATAAGGGGCTCGCTGTTTAGGCATACTGATTATTTGAGAGAAAACCACTCTTCAGATCT